TATATGATCATATTAACTCCTTTTTTCGATTTAAACACATTTCTCTACAGCGTAACGTCAATAGGGCGGCTCCTTTTGGCAATAATTATGTTGACATTGACATGAATTGACATTATGATAAGAAACAATAAAATGAGAGGCACTTCAAAGAAAAGAAGACTATGAATGAAGGAAGGAAGGAACGCGGAACGAACGAACGAACGAAATGACGGACGGCAGACGTATCATTGATCGATAATTTTTTGAAGCTCACAATTTTAACAGTTGTTTGTTGTTGTCGAAGATTCCAGCGGGAAGGGACTTCAGTTGATTGTTGTTCAAAGATCTAAAGCAGAGAATAGTAAAAATGACAACGAGTACAACGACAACGACGAAGAGCCTAAAAAACTCACANAGAATAGTAAAAATGACAACGAGTACAACGACAACGACGAAGAGCCTAAAAAACTCACAAAGATTGAAGCTGTGTATTGTTATCAAAGATACCAATAGGAAGTGACGTCAGTTTGTTATACTGTAGATACCTGAAAGAATGAATGTATGAAAGAATGAAGAAGTTAATGAATGAATCAATGGCGAATCGAATGAATTAAGAATCGAATGTCTTTACAATTAACGCATAAGATTGAATAACATTTAACCCTTTCTTTTTAAGACGCCTAACAACATTTTTACTGGTATGACATGAGTTTTCGGTTGTGGTCAAAGATTCCAAGAGGTAAAATCATCAGTTGGTTATTTGATAAATATCTAAATGCGAAAAGAGTCAGATGGACAATAGATATAAATAATTACATAATATATAAATAATTATATAAATAATTATCAGAAGATCAGGACGGTGGGCATCTCCAGTTATAAGCGAGGGACTGGTATAGCCTTCAATGTCAGCATATAATGAAGATTTGTCGAGTTTAGGTAGCAGTGATGCAGCGAGGAAATTTAAGATGGAAACGTGCCTCCAAGTGAAACGTGATAGATAGTATTGGCATCCAGCAACAACATGACAAAGAGATTCTGAAGAACTGCAATAGGAGCACTCAGAACTAGCTGACAAACCCCATTTTGCTAGATTCGTGCATGTAGGTAGTGAGTTGTTGATATATTGAATGGCAAAGTTAAAAATGTTCTTAGGTAGATTAGCGTGAGCGGTAGACCAGATTGAATGAAGTGATGACAGGGAGTATTTCATAATGTTTGTGAAAAATGATCCTTGTGATAGCAGATGATGTGTTAGTTTTTCCTCTTGTGCAGATCTAAAGTTCTTGAGTACTTCTTTAGTTGATTGAAAAACATCATATTGAATCATTGAGCTGTTACTGGACGACGTCCAAAGATATTTTATGTCGCTGCTTTTAGATGATTTTAAGGCTTTTCTTGTAACGGTTTGGCATTGAATGAACTTGACTGAAGGTGGGATGATATTTAGACCAAATTTATTTCGTGGTAGATAAGTGTTACTTAGGGTTCCAGATATGGGGATTTCTAGCCATCTGCGAAGATATTGATTTACTTAGGCTTAATCATGTCTAAAGATAAAATATTTTCAACGCTTACAGATTTAACAGTTCTTTGTTGTTGTCAAAGATTCCGCCAGGAAGTGACTTCAGTTGATTGTTGTTTAAAAATCTAAAACAAAGAACAATAATAATAGGATTTAATCGTCAATTTGTCAATAATGATGATGATGATGATGATGATGATGTATGATGATGATGTCAATTGAAAAACCTCAAAAGGGCAGCGTCTTTTCCCCCTAATAATTAAGTTGACATTGACATGAATTGTCTACAAATATCAGCAAAAAAACTCACAAAGATTGAATCTGTGTATCGTGATCAATTTCATTTATTATTTTTTACGAGTAAGCATATTACGAGGTTCTTTATCTGCTCTGTGTGAGTCTGTAAATAACACTTACAGGCGACCCAGTGAACGATTATTTAAGTTTTTCACTTTGACGTCAGTTTACAGTAAAAATTTTCATATGGATATTATTCGCTATTATTGGTATTAAAGGTAATTCCTAATTTGGCAAAATCAAGAACCCACATTTGTGGCAGCCTTTTGAGGTGATTAAAGATTCCAGTAGGAAGAGTCATCAGTTGGCTGTGATTTAAATATCTGAAATTGAATAAAGTTATCGCGATAAAAATCTTAACTTGGTGATAAGAAACAATAAATAGACTGAAGAAGAGAAGACTATAATTAAATAAATGAATGAAGGAACGCGGAACGAACGTAAAAAAAACGAAATGACGGACGGACGGACGGACGGACGGACGGACGGACGGACGGACGGACGGACGGACGGACAGACGGACGGACGGACGGACGGACGGACAGACGGACGGACGGACGGACGGACGAATCATTGATCGATACTTTTTTTAAAGCTTACAATGTGTACAGTTGTTTGTTGTTGTCGAAGAGTCCAGCAGGAAGTGACTTCAGTTGATTGTTGTTCAAAGATCTAAAGCAGAGAATAGTAAAAATGACAACGAGTACAACGACAACGACGAAGAGCCTAAAAAACTCACAAAGATTGAAGCTGTGTATTGTTATCAAAGATACCAACAGGAAGTGACGTCAGTTTGTTATCATGTAGATACCTGAAGCAGATGAAAACAGCAAACCAGTCAAGAGCTAGTCAAGTAATTTTGAATATAATAAACGATACCATCAAATGCAAATGTTTAAACAAGTTCAAATTTGCTACAGTCAAATTCAAGAACTTACAGTACTACGAGCCGTTTGAGGTGATTAAAGATTCCAGGAGAAAGAGACATTAGTTGGTTGTGATTTAAGTATCTAAAATGGAATAAAGATATCGCGGTGAAAAGCTTAACAAAGAGCCAATAAGAAGAAGTAAAGTAAGGACAGAGAGAATGCAATTACTAATGTTTTTTATTGCTTGGCGATGATCGAGACAACAGTCTCGACATGGAAATCAAGCAATACACTGACATCAATCAGAGTATGTAAAGGTAGTGAAAAATAATTATATGTGATTGACGATATAGTTTCAGTATTGCCCGATTGTAAAAACTTTTTTTATTATTGATATTTTGCCCTTTTAAGCCTTAGCACATTCTTAACATCCAGCTTTTCTTAGAGGATTTGCATTGGAACCTACAATTGCGCCCGCTTTCAAAGAGAGATACACTGACTTGACTCACAGGTAATTTGTTCTATTATCAAATGTCCCATTAGGAACCATGGCCAATTGCTTTCCTGCGCAATTTGTGACGTAATATGGGTAGCAGGAACATGGTGATGGACAACCGCCTGGAATAATAATAAGTTAAAAAAGTAACCAATCAAATTTAAGGAAGTTTGCCCTAATTTTGGGGTGCTTTTTACCTTTTGACCTCCTTCAGTACGAACCGTTGGTGAGTGCGCAAACACCAAACATTCAACTGAGTAGATAGCAAATTCTGATTGGTTAATCCAACTTCAACTGTGCGTAAGTAATGGTTTGAGAATGCTCAGTGAATGTAGCTCGTGTTAGACTGCAACAAGATCCTGTTCGCAGGGTAGACCGGGTTACCTGGTTGTGACAGTTTTCTGTCATAAGTAAACGTGGCAAATTTAAAGCCTAGTTCGCGTTTGGACATGAATAACGGTGAATAACGCATTCATCATAATGATGCCTTATAAAATTTACGCGTTCAAACCGAAATGCTTACAACTATTATTGATTAAAACATGGACTACATATTTTTCTCTCTCCTGATAACAATATGAAATATTATGATAGCGTCGTTAACCAACAACCCAGCTTTACCTTCAGCTTTCGCCGTGGTTACGGTAAGGCCTAGGATAAGCAACAAACCGTAACGATAGGCCAGACCCATTGTTCTTGTCTTCACCTGTCACATGAGAGAAATTCGATAGAATCAAAGGCTCATCTTCATAGATACTTTTATATTGTTTTGTAAGATCAGATTCAATTCTATCCCAACACAACGTAATATCACGATTAACACACTGTTAAAGCAAATAATTGAACTGAGGCTGAAAAATCTTGGAGAAACAATAGACTTTTCGCGAAGCCACTTAAGTATGGTGGCCCATGATACAATGGTTCCATTTCGAGGTTGGATTTGATAAATACAGTACAGCTACCTCGACTTGGAACCATTGTTGCGTTTGTTGGTGATTTAAGTGAAATAGGAAAAGGTCTAGTACAAACATGTTTAAAGCAAAGCAAAAAATAAAAAYACAACAAAAACAAACATACACAGGGGTGTAGCCTCCATCCTTCCATCCATCCATCTATTAAATAATTCATCCATGCATTCATTGTTGTTCATCCGTACATTCATTAGTTCGCTCGTTGGTTGATTAATTTCTTTTCTTTTCTTTTTCTTTTTCTTTTTCTTTTTTTTTTTTCTCCCTCTGCTATCTTCATCTGGTTTACCATATCCATCACATTGCCCCAATTTGTTTACATGTTTTGAATGTGACAGACATATAGAATCGGCCAACAAAGGCGAATACTGAAACACGAAAAACGGAGGTCTAGCTTAACACAACCAAAAATGTCCCTACAGAATACAATGGGAAAAAAGCAAGAGCCCGAGAATACAACACAAACACAAAGTTAAGAATAATACATAACCGCAAAAGAACTCCGTTAAATCGAAATGACCCGTAGAAAGGACTACTAACAAGAACATTTTGCACAGACGACACAAGAAAACCAGCTTGAAAAAGACGGCCTACAAGGACCACCAAAACGTCGGAAAACTTAATCGAAGAATCGCTGTGAGCATGTCTAGAACCCACAACGAACACTAAATGGGATATTGAGTAATATTTAACGTAATCTTCAATTCAGGTTTTATAGGATAATGAATGGATACTTACGAGGATTTGATCTGAAAAATAATCCTTTTTAGAGAAAAAGTTAGRTCTAGTCTTCGAAAACTTTCCCCAAAACACCCATATCATGAAAAACTAGGGGCTTTGGCTGCTCTCATCAAGCATCTGTTAGCATATATAACAGTAACAAAATCATAACCAAGATATGCAATTAAAACAGAACTAAACCAAAATAGCCAAAGACTTTTTCATTAAAAAGTCCATTTTCAGCTGTAACAGAAACGCGACTGTTCATTTTGATTGTACGCACGCCAATTTCTAGAACGCCGTTAGTCTTGGGAGGTCTTATATAATGAAAAATATATCGTGAAAAAGAGACAGATAATAGATAGCTTTTTTTGACCGCAGCATATTGAATTGTTTGGTATTTCAAGCCTGGGCCTTTTTATTTACCGACAATGAATAGGTGTTCACTATAATTAAGAGGTAAACGTCGTATTATAAGAAATTAAATAACAAATAGGGATAAGACAAAACGGATGTAATTTATTCRTTGTTTTGAAGGTAGACTGACATTTTTGAGATTACGTTGATGGTATATTCCAGAATCGGTTATAATATCCTCAGCAATCTAGGGGGCTTTACTATCAAAATAGATTTTTCTTTGAATAATTCCTTTTCGTTATTTTGTTGTATAGTCATTTTTATATCACAACGTTCTTGCAATTAGGTTGATTCGGTTTGGTATTTGTTCCCAAAATAGGTAACGCTATCTAAAGAGGCAAGCCAACTTATAGCCACTAATAATAGAGAGTTATGGCAGTAATACTGTTACATCTTTTCAGAATTCATTTGAGTGACAAAATCAAATATGTAACTCGTCAAGTTTAACATCGAGCTGGAGCTTTTGTTTCCCGGACACTGAGGGAAATTCGCGGAAGGTCGATTTATTTCAATCGAATTCAAGTAATTAGTTTGGCCGTGCTCGCAGGATGTTCTCTACTCATTAAATTCTATGGCATATGTTACTGTTAAAGTGATGATAATGATAAGAAACGAACTGGGAATCTGGCTTTAATAACAATGGCCTTTTACTTCACATCTGCTTGCCTGGTTTTTAGTGCAAAACATAATGAATATTTTTGGTGGCACGGTAAAGTTTCTAACTAAAACTAGTCATATTCTGAAATTATCAGTCACAAATGTTGTAAACATAATTAATATTTGAAAGTGCCTAGCACTATCCTACAGGATGCCTTTGTGATTTGAAACCTCTTATAAAAATGAATAAGAATGGCATTTACTTTTCTGTGATATCTCTTTTCGTTTTTGAGATAATCAATATAGAAATTACAAAATGGTGACGTCATCACAGGATCCGCAGTGAAAAGTAAAATCATTAAATAGCGAATATCTCTTACCCTGGTTCCAGAGACGATTAGTTGCTGCATAACGAGAGAGGGAGAGGTGGTGGTGGGGGAGGGAGGGAGGAGGGARGGAGGGAGGAAGGGGAGGGATGGGAGAAAGCGCGCTTTCTCTCTCCCTCTTCTCTCCTTCTCTTTCTTCGCCCTTCTCCCCGCCACTAAATCACTAAGCGCCTCTGGAACGAGGGTAAATATATCTGTGAGAATTAATAGCGCAAAATGTATGAAACGTATGTTGGTTATAGTGCATTGTAAAAAAGTCAGCTTGTCCATGTTTGATGGTGTTTCTTTCTCTGTTCTTTCTTTCTTTCCTTTCTTTCTTTTCGTTTAGCATTATTCCTTATCAATGATTAAGAGGAATTTTTTTTCCAATAATGAGCAATAATGGCAAAAATCGCTAAAAACTAGATGACTTTCGTATGAGTTTTGCAATCCCAATTTTCATTTTGGGTTAACACTCAAAACCTTTTTTAAAACAGCTAAAAACTGATGTACTATGATAAAATKCCTGTTTGAAGCGGTATTTTCAACTGTATAAAGATGTTTTGTTGCATTTGCGTTATCATGTTGCTTTGTCAGGCTTTTTTATAGAAAATATTCGGGAAATAAGCAAATGAAGGCCCTAAGCCTCATTCTCGAATAAAAATTTTGCTTTGGGTTAAAACGCTTTGATTCCACTTTCATCGATCATCTTCACTTCCAAACAAGTCAAACTTTCTAAATAACAAGATTTTAGCCTGGTACAACAGTGTTTCTTCAAGAAAATAGTTCACTGCTTGAATACGAAAAGAATTCTCTCTTAATATCATAACTTAACAATGAGAAAAGAAACGAAAATAAAACCGGAAAATAATTCATTTACAATATCAGCTTGGAGGCTTGTAATTTATTTTTGATCTAAATGACTATTTTTTTTTGTGGAGAATTTTTTGTATTCATTTATTTTATATCCTTGTTAACATATTTCTGAGGCCATTTGCAGGACATAATCACGTGACTGTTACAGTTATTTGAATAACATTTACTGGATTCACTAATGTTATATCCAAAACGTTTTCAAAAATACTTTTTTCCCCTCATAAAATATTTTAAATTTCAAGATACGAAGCAATCYCAAGTTTATTTGCCATCCAGCAGAGCCTTCCCCAAGGTCTTTATCAAAGTGATATATCAGCATGTACATCTGTGAGTTATCCATGCCCTGGCATAGATCCGTAGTACAGACCTTGTTCGTTTTTTTTAAGCACCTTTTAACATCTTTTGAAATTTACAATTTTTAGAATCCCAGATCTCTTACGCATACGAGTAAGGTACTTCTATGTTGGCTTATTGGTCGATAAAGATCTCATAATAAA